GATCTCCACGACGATTGGTCCTGCAGTGCTCGCATCCAATGCCTTCCAGAGTCTTGACTAGATCGCCGGTCCACCTTGCTGGAGGCCTTCCCACGCTGTGTCTTCCAGTCCGTGGTCGCCACTCGAGGACTTTATTGCCCCAACGGCCATCTGTCCTACGAGCTATGTGCCCAGGCTATGTTGGTCACTCTGGTTCTTCTACGGATCTCCTCATTTCCGATTTAATCACGCAGAGTAACTCCGAGCATAGCCCTCTCCATTGCTCTCTGAGAGACTCTATCAATAATGGCCAGATATAAATTTAACAACGCTGCAACATTTAAATATTTAGTGGTAAATAAAGGTCTCGTTATTTCGTGACCATTGCTAGTGCAAGCCAGTCGAAATGTTGAGGAAGGTAAATACCATTATTTACCATAAAATTATTCGTGTTAAGACCAGGTAAATAATATAAATAATGTATATTAAACATGAAATTTCAGTTGACAATTTAATAATAAATAGACATACGGCCTGTCTAATGGTAAACGATTACTGTAGTCTAGAAAACCTTAAGTAGGAACGTTAGCAACCTTCTTGAATACCCATGCTGTAGTCATATAAAGATCTCGGCAGATAATTCATTCCACAATCTAAGTGTACGTGAGAGGAAGCTCCTCTGAAAACGCACTGTCCGAAACCACTTAGGTTCCGGCATATGGGATGAATTCCCTGTCGATGGCGAGTGATATTTCTACATTAGAACCTGTATCTAAAGCTACACTAGGTGGCTCCAATCAGATTTGGCTTCTTCTCATTCGCTTCGTTCTTGTCAGAACGGTCGTGGTCATTACGTAGTGGATGTGAGGCTGATGTCATCCGCCGCACGACAGCTCGCCATTTGTCTCTACTGTCTGCCATTCGGGTACACTCGTGGAGTGGACCGCCTATTGCTGCTTTGATTTGGTCGGTCCATCGCATGGGTGATCGTCCTCGGGGTCTAGTACAGATTTGGCTAGGCAGGGAAAAAAACAGAAGAGATGAAAGTGAGTGTTGACGTACTTCTGCTAGGGGCCTACCTATACCTACACCCAAGTCACAAGTCTCGTTAACTGCTCGAGTCTCGGGATCTGCCAGGAGTTTCCCTCTCTGCAACGCAAGTGCGGATCCAGCTTGGCGCCAGGAGGGGCCACATAATCGTGATCAAATCAAGAACTTATAATTTAATTTTGATAATAATAGATACAAGTAAAAAGTAGGTATTTTATTAATGTACGTATGTACTGTACTTAAAAATATTTATTCTTTATTGTACACTTGAAAAACTCAACACATAATAACTTGTATAATAACACGTACATATTGCCATCTTCTCTTGAAGACATCCAGAGAGGCACTATTTAAATATAATTAATGAAATATTGAAGGTATGTAGTTATATAAAATCTGTATGGTGACAAAATATATATATAAAATCGTTATGTTCAATTAGTGATCGAGTAGACCTTCCTGGATCCGCCGTTGGCCACTCGAGGGTCTTGCTACCCGCGCGCTGAATCAATGGAATCCTAACAAGTTCAGCTCTTTGTTTTTTGCACCGGCACGGGGAATCTGTGGAATGCTAAGAAGTTCATCTTTTTTTTGTCCTTTGCGTTAATTGTTTCGACATACGCAAGTCCTCTACAGGCTGAGTACAGCGTGTTTGTCAAAACGTCTCGCCTCGCAGTCTCGAGGTTCAAATCTTAGTTTAAATAAAAATTGTGCGAAAATAAACAACTTTTAAAAATAAAATCATAATATAAATTCAAATTCAAAAATCATTTATTTATTTATTTATTGTAGTATAATTTTTTCCCTACCGTCCAGTTCAGTATATAGATCCAATTGAGAAGAACTGGCGAATAACTCAATGGCAATTTAATTCCTTTTTTTTTAAAGCCAGTTTATTTACAATATCTGTTTATATAGGTGTCTATGTCTAACGTTAAATGAAAATCCCGTGCATGAACAACTATTGCCATGCGCGATCGCCATTCAAGTAATCGCTTAGGAAGTAAAGAATAATATTCTCGACTATTCAAAATAATAATAATAATAATAAACTCTTTATTGTGCACATAGAAGAAATACAATAAGAGAAAAAAAAACAATAAATAGAAAATTATGAACAAAAGGCGGTCTTATCGCTATAAGCAAAATGTGGTAGTTATAAGTATTCTTATAATAACGTTGGGAAATGTTGACATCATAGTGAACGCTTATATAATAGAATGGATGATAATGGAATGGTGAATCCGCCTGCGCTAAAAATTTACGTTGGCGAGGCATCTGTGGAGGATGATATGAAGTATTAGTCAGACCGTTTAGATCGTCGTGGCAAATTCTTCAGGAATTATACAAGATAGTTTCCAGGGAGAATCGCGTCGAGTTCTATCTGATTTGCTTTTCTAGAAATTTCCACAGTACCAACAACCCCCTGCCCCGTAAACCCAGCATTTGACATGCCCAGTTATCAGGGTTTTTTATTGGTTGGTTTGTTTGGGCTATTGTCAGATGCTTAGAACTGTAACACTCCGACTTGTATAGGTCTTTTTTTTTTGTGGATGTTAATGGAATTGTGCACCCGCCTGCGCTAACGGTTTACGCTGGCGGGGCACCAGTGGAGGATGATAAGATGACCACGAGGTCAGGTCAGTTAGCCCATCGTGACAAATTCACTAGGAATTTAACACGATGGTTTCCAGGGGGAACCGCGTGGAGGTCGACCTGACATGGTATATTGCAAGCAATGGGGTTATCAATCCGCATTACTAACAATCAACTTCTCCCCCTTGTATAGGTCTTGTCAAAGTTCGCTACCTCGACCTGTGAGGGACAAGAATTGAAGGATATTCTTAGGAGCAATGATTTTTATGTCTTCAGGATAGAGTGTATACTTTCCAGAGGAGATATCTTCTGCTTCTGCTTGGCCAAATCTGCAGTTTGACGTTTAATAACAGATAAGTCTGCTATCATCTCTCGCATTAGTTGAGTATTTTCTTTAGCACAGGGGACAAATGATTCTGCGGCTCACCTGATTGTAAGTGATTGAATTGCAAATGTCCTGCCGGCCTTTTAAAAAGGAATAAGCTCTATTCTTGAAGGTTTCAATATCGCATCAGTTCCGAAATACCATTGCTGGAAGGATTCCACAATGTGGTTGTTCGTTGCAAAATTTAAGTCATATCCTTTCTATATAGGTCACGGATTCTAATCAAATTGTTTCAGGGTCTGATATTTTCCTTCTTTTTTTTTCCTATTAGATATCTTGCAATCAGTCACGTGGACTATAAGCAGATGTGGTGTTCCGTATACAACAGGTAGACTGCCGCTCCCAGTAGAGCAGCTCCTCGCTCTTAAAAAGTCCTGTCCGACTATCTTGGTCAAATATACCACGCCTTTTCTTTAATCGACGTACGTTTTGATGTATTGCAAGTAGCGCACTTGCTCGAATTTATTTGGGTGCCTGTGTAGTCGTAATTTGTATTCGTTACTGCAGTCATTAATTACATCCTTAACCATGGGAATATCAAGTATTTTGTGGATCTCAGTTGTTTTTATAAATCATGGTGCATCCGAAGGTTGTTTTGTGACAGATATTTAAATAATTTTAATAATGTATAATTTAATCGTAGAGCAATTTTACTACGTAAATACTTTTTCTATGAAAGAAGTAAATATTTACATATTATATGTATATTACAGAACCTTACGAAATAGGAAACCATCCACTAAATTTAAGTATGTAAAGTATTTATGGTGTTAATTAAATAAGTAATAGAAACATAAGCATAATTACTGCATAACAGTGTCGGATTTAGAAAAAACTATAGAAATTATTAGAATATATTAAAACCATAGTTTATTGTCTATGGTAAGACTATGGAGATTGCAATTCTGTATTGATTATTCAAATACAAATTCATAATTAAAAAATCATAAATCATTTATTGATATAGAACTTTTTAGCCGCTTATGAACGTCAATTTTTTTATATTATAATTATTTACCTATCGTCCAGTTCAGTATATAGATCCAATTGAGAAGAACTGGCAAGAAACTCAATTGAATTACTTTTTTATATATATAAAAAATATATATCACATAGATTAACAAAAAATTAATTAATTTTTATTAAAACTATTCTATTTTAATTGTATTAATAAATCTATTTATATTCTTTAAATGTATAAATTGAATTAAATAATCTCTATTAAATTATAATGAATTTTAAGCACTTTTAAATGACCGTTTTTTTTATTTTACCGTCATATTTAGGATGTATATTCATCCAAGAAAAATATGCACAAGAATATGTTTGTTATGGCAGAGGTAAATCCGAATACTATATCATCTATATATATAGCTGATATTTGCAAGTAAGCCGTTTCTTTTAGAAGTATAAATATATATGCAAAATATTTTTTTTATAATTCCTCCAAAATATGAGAATGCTAAGAATTTTTGTACTTCCGTAGTACTTTGCTTTTTTAGTGACTGCCAAAATAAAAGTTGTTCATAAGAAATTCTTCGAACATCTTTTTCAGCGTTTACATAAATAAAATAAAAGTTTATTGTTTATAAACACTGGTAGTAATATTTTTCAGATATCATAGTAAATATAAATTTGTTTTAATGTAAGTGCAAATGAGTGGCCTTTGCCATGTCACAGTCTAAAAAAACTACTGACATAAATGTCAAAAAATGGAGCTAAAATTTTCCAATTTCAAATTCATATATTTTTCCTTTTTATTTTTGATTCAGATTTTTCATCTCAGGGAAAGGCAAAAGGACTCGGCCCATACAGCTATTGTCTTCAGTAATATATTTTTTGTTTTTACAATGATATTTATAGGTATAAATAATTGTAAATCAAATCCATCCCTGGCCGTGTAGTGTGTTTACGCGCATGTACATACATAACGTACGCCGTATATAGTAGTGGGTGTAACGGAGCGGCATTAGTAGCTGTGTGCGTCTCGGGAACGCATGCGTTTCACGTACAGCCGCGTGTGGTAATCTGTGGTTTGCTGCCAATTATTTCTATTTGGAGAATAATAATCACGGAAGACATTCTATGTGAGTACTACAATCATTTTATTAATTATAAAATTAAGTGATTTTGTTTTTTTTTTCATGTTCGAAATTTGAAATATAAATTCGTGTTTCATAGACACAGTGCGTGGTTTCTTTTTAAATTTATGTAAAAACTTTTTAAGTACTTTATATTATTTGTAATTATTATTTATCTGCTTATTTTTAAAAATACGTTTCTATGGTAAAATAGACCTTCTTTAAATTAAAATGGTAATAATAATATTAAAATCGATTTGTATAATTAAAATATTGCATGAATAAGGGGGTTATTGTTAATGTAATTAGATATACATATATGTTTTTCTAATTTAATAAAATTCTAACTTATTTTTTGGAATTTAAAATATTATTGAAAAGAAACAATAGTGATGACTAGACTTAAACGATGTGGTCAAAGTTAAATATTTTATTTATTATAGTATATCATCGAAATGTAATACAACTACCCTCATTTTATATTACAAACCTGTACAGTGTAAACAAACTGCATATATACATCGCTAAAGTATTTAAACGAATTAAAAAAAACATTTATTCATATAGAACCATATGGCAAGTTCAGTTTTTTGTATTTTTACCTACTATCAAGTTTGGACAGTTATTTATAATGAACTAGAGGCCAGTCCTGGTTTCGCACGCGTTATTAAAATAATTTACACAAAACCTTAGAGTTATATAAACCTTTCTAAGAAATCAGTCTATAGATGTATGAAAACCGCATGTAAATACGTTTAGTAAGTTCTCAGATTATCGCGAATATACAGACATACGTGGCTAAGACTTTGATTATATGTATAGATTACATATTATAAACCTATCCCACGTGAAATACACAATAATTATATACTTACTAGTAATTGATCTATACATCTATACATATAAATAAAATTGGAGTGTCTGTAACAGGTTTGTAATATTGAAATAAACGTTTTTTACTACATGCATACGAATATAAATATGGTACATACACCAAAATAACAATTTTTGTCTGTTTACTCCTTATTACATCAGCTACCTGCCAAACAAAGTCCCGTCAAAATCGGTCCAGCCATTTCAGAGATTAGCCGGAACAAACAAACCGACAGACAGACAGACAAAAATTATAAAAAATGTTATTTTAGTATATGTTCCGTATATGTATTCATAAGCATGTAGTAAAAAACGGTTACTTCAATATTACAAACAGACACTCCAAGTATACTCATACTCGTGAACGAGTGCTGCTTGTAGGGACTGGTCTGCTCTTATCACTACGACTGATTTAATCTTATTGTGTTTTTATATTTGACCCTAATAAATTAGTGCTGGTTGGTAGTTTGTATTCACACGTTTCGACTTGTAAATGTGAACCTACAAGGATTATTTAAAAGAGCAACACACAAGTTTCTTGCTTATTCTTCTTGTGATGAGACAGCTTTCCGAATAAGCGGTAGATTAAAAAAAAATGTTGACTATTCAAAAGTGCTTAAATTAAGTTTTTAGCGTCTTTATTGTTACCGCTATTATTTATGTTTGTTTGTATGTTTGATAAGTCTAATGATTGCTATGGGACACAGCTATCATCATCTGTAATATACATCGTCTCGACCAGCAACATCGTATCATTCACCTGCAACAATTGCTATTTACATTATGTATATTAACAAAATATTTACAATGATATATACCTATACAAGAAGGTAATTCAATCTCGAATGACAAACTTGTTATACTATTCTTCTGTAGTAACTAGACAACGTTGTTGCCGCTCGATAATAGTTAATTCGCCACAAGTTTATTTGAATAAATAATTTTCTATTCTATTCTATTTAATTGTATTTATATGTATATGTATATAGATTAATCAAAAACTTAAAAAATAAGTTACATGCTGGTAGCTTTAAAAATGATTGGTTTTCAGCTTAGAAACATTGATAAACCTAGCCAGTCTTGTTTTATAACTAAAGTCGTATCCGTCAGGCGGGAGTATAAGTCCTTCCGCGGGTTTGGAGTGCCATCTGCACTCGCCCCCTACCGTCCGGTGAAGCTGTAAAGGCCAGCTGCGGCCAACAGCATTAGAGTAGTCTGAAAAAAAAATTGTTTTATAAAACAGACAATGTGGTTGCGAGAACAAACAACCAATAAGAACCTATTAGCACAGATAAGATAATTTTACATCTATTAGTAAATTGTACGCCAATAACATAGTTTATATACAAGTAGAGAATAATATAGAATCACTAGCTGAACCGGCAAACGTTGTTTTGCCTTATAGATTAAAATCGATGTTAAAAACTATTTTTTAACATCGATTTTAATCTATAAGGTTGGTGATAGAAGGGTGAAAATTAAGGGTTGCATGTATTTTTCAATGCCAAATCAAACATAATTTTATTTTTTAAAAAAGAAATAATATTTTGGTTCAGCTATCCTTAACGCTTAAGGATATAAAAATTAGTTATTAAATTTTATCAAAATCGGTCAAGCCGTTTCGGAGTATAAACACGAAACCTGTGACACGAGTGTGTTTATATATTAAATAATGTATAATATGACGGTCTATGTGGTATAGCGAGTACACTGCCTTACTTCCGATGGTCGCGGGTACGTTTCTTCGCTACAAACATTTGTATTCACAAGTACGATTGCTTGTATCGATTTAGGTGTTTTCTATATATATAATAGTAATCATAATAATAATAATGTTTGTTACTGTTTCTAGCAAAAACTACTGAACTGATTTTGATGAAACTTTACAGTAATATAGTTTATGCATTAGAATAACACATAGGCTATTTTTTATTGAAATTTAACGTGGGTGGAACCGCGGGCACAACTAGTAATATATATATATATATATATAGTTTCAAAAGCCTATTTGTTAGTATTTTTTTTTCTAATCTAATGTTAAAAAAAATCTTATCTACAGTACAATTACAGTGGTTACAAATTGTTAGACCTCTGCCTAACAAGTACATTAACAAAATGTATCATCTATATATATAAATAAAATTGCTGTGTCTGTTTGTAAAATTGAAATAATCGTTTCTTACTACATGCATATGAATATAAATACGGTACATACACCAAAATAACATTTTTTATAATTTCTGTCTGTCTTGTTCAGGCTAATCTCTGAAATGGCTGGACCGATTTTGATGGGACGTGTTTTGGCAGATAGCTGATGTAATAACTCCTTATTACATCAGCTACCTGCCAATAAAAGTCCCGTCAAACAAAGCCAGAACAAACAGACAGACAGGCAAAAATTGTAAAAAATGTTATTTTCATTTTCATTTGCACAAATATGTGAAGAGTCTACCAACATACAAAGATATATTAAAGAAGAGAATCTATAAAGCTCCTGTGTCTAAGGCTAAAACATCATTTGCTCAACGTCACAAAAAAATTCTCTTTCCACACATATACAATCAAATTTGCAAACTAATTGATATAAAACACTCTCAATTATCAGGTTTAAAAACACTCCTCAACAGTATACTGATGTCCTGGACATATGAGGACACTGAGAAAATACTAAAACCCGTAATATAAATTTAGACAATTCTGAAATATTCTAATGATTCTATATGAATTTACAACACTTCCAAATAACATTCTTACTCACTCAAACACACACACACACACACACACTCACACGTACACACATACACACACACACTCGCCGACTAACAAATACATATCTGTAATTTTTATTATTGTATTCTTTGTTTATTTTATTTTATTTTTTGTCATATATTACTAGTATTAATATTATATAAACACTAAATTTTTATATGCACTCTGATCGCCGTACCTATGTAACGTTAACTGTCAAACCTGCTTTGATTTCCACGATACAGGCATTGCCTAGTGTGGGGTCATAGTTACAATGTTATTTAAGTTATATTTTATGAAATAAATGTTATTCTATTCTATTCTATTCATATATGTACCGTATTTATTCACATCCATATAGTAAAAAACGGTTATTTCAATATTACAAACAGACACTCCAATTTTATTTATACGTATAGATTTGTATCAGATCCAGGGAACATTAATTCAGATAAACACACAGCTTGATGCGTTGTTAGAATACAGTATACTTCGGTTAAAACGTTCAATTACTCAAGGTTCTTTTTTAAATGTAATAAGGTAAAGGGCCATATTATGGAACATTGTACTAGTTTATGAAACAAGTGATAAAAATCCGAATTACAAATAATTTCTAACGTATTCAGTATTTATAATATTATCTATATGATCTTTAATAACCTATTTATTGATTAAATTAATTTATTTTTGTAAACACCTTAAAATGTATAGAAAAAAAAAATAGATGAAATGCCCGTGTCAGGTTGCATGAAAAAAGACTGTCTTTTAGAGTTAGAGAATGACACGTGTCATCACAATTGTTTTAACAATTTGAAATATTTGTCAATGATACAAAAATACTTGAAACATGTCAATCAAAAGTTTGACTTATTATCTATTGATTGATAATGAATTTAAAGTACTTTAATAAGGTATTTATTTTTTATTTAGGTGTTTCATAATTGCCGCAAAAATTTCTAAACAGACCGTATTTATGGAACAGTATATTCAGTGTTCCACATCCCCCTCACATTCGATTTTCTTAGTTGTCCGTAATTATGAAACAGCAAAAAGTGGACAATATTTAGTTAATTTCGTGTTAATCATTGTTAATTAATTACAACAAAGCAATTTACGTTAGAACAGTTTATATTTCTAAAAATTTGCATTTAGATATGTACATAGATTGTAAAATTCTATGAAAATGAAAAACTAACCTCAAAAATGAATAAGCTGGATGATAAATATTGTTTTATATTAATTAAAACATATACTTAAGTGGAAAACCTGCCTGAAAAAATTAATAACACTTTATTTAATTCAAAATTTTTACGAAGCACCTACATATCACATTTTTATAGATGTTTTTAAATTAATAATTTTTGTAGGTAGATACATTTTTTTTA